CAGGCTGCGCTGGGCCACGGGGGCGCCGGGAGCCAGGCTGGAGGTAGGGGAGGGCAGCGGCTTCTCTCAAGCAAGGGAGAGCCACCCCCAGCACACACCCCACCCCGCTACAGCAGCTGCACCTATGTGCATAGCAGCCCTGTGAGCAGACAGTAGTAGAAGCGTGGCCCAGGACAGCTGAGGGTTTGCACCCCCAAAGGCACCTCCACACCTCCTTCTCCAGTCCAGGGCTGCACCTTTGCATCTTTCAAAACTCTCACCAAGCCAGGTTCCGGCACCCTCACATCCCCTGCTCTCCCGCCAGGGTTTGATCACGTGTAGGATAAGATGGGCTAAGGCAGGGGGCAGCCCACAGCAGCCCTGCAGGAGGCTGGAGTGAACGGGCATCCAAGCCCCAGGGATAGGTCACCTCAACTGCCAGGTACAGCACCCTCCCCTCCCCTTTGTTTTTTTTTTTTTTTTTTCCTCCTCCAGCTGTCTAAAGGAAAAGCCAGAGCAGTTTGCTTAGGTCAGGCTTCGGTAGAGAAGCCAAGCCTGCAAGTAGCTGGACAAGCATAACAAAGAGGGCAGTGCAGTTCCACACGGTTGCAGGCCTCAGCGAGTCAGGTCTGCCCTCTTCCCTGCTCTAGTTCAGAGCCCAGCACTCCCCAGCATAGAGGGGCCAAGCACTGTTGGCTCCTGCAGCTCACAGCACCCTCATTGCACCAGGGAGCAGCAGCTGGAACTCAGCACTAACATGGCTGGAAGCAAGAGCATCCCTGCTCTTTGCACCTACTAACCCAGAGGCAGTCCAGTGCTGGGGAAGCAGCAAATGCAAGCCCCAGGACAACCTCGGGCAGGGACCCAGAGCACAGCCCAGGGTTTTGCATCACAACTCCCAAATAGCAGCAGTGGCAGCCTTCTCCATTCTACATACTTTATTAGATTCAGAGCTGGACAAATCACAAAGTGTACAAAATGGAGACCACACTACCAGAAGCAGGATTGTGGGTAGCAGCAGCATTCCTATGGCCCAGAAGCATTTGGTAGAAGTGTGGAGAGGGCAGGCTGGGGCAGGGGGCTCTTACTGCCATTGGCATTTTAGACTCTAGAGGACAGACCCTGTTCACATCCTGACAGAGCTCAGTTGCCCCACACTCCCTGGGACAGAGGGGCCAAGTTTACAATCTGGTTGGAAAAGACAGACTGGCCCAAGCCAGTAGCAGGTGGGGGTAAGTGCTCTAAGGACCTGAAATGCTGTGCCACCCACATACACACCAGCAAGAGTCTAAACCCTCATCCTTTTTGGTCACAAACCTTCCCATGGCAGGACTCTATACTGAAGACTTTGCAAGAAATATAAAGTGGTGAGGTCCAGTGAGCCCACCATCTCCTCCGGTGGAGGCCTGACAAACTCACCACCCCAGGTATCTCAGACTGGCCAGCAACATCTACCACAACAGCAATAGCTAGTACAGAAGCCAGGGTAACTTCAACTCAGATTTGTCCAGTCTATGTTTAGGTCTAATCTACGGGTACATATGCACAAGAACGTCAAAAATACTAGGATATGATGCAAGTAGTGAGACACCAACAGAAGAGGAATTTAATGGTGGACGTTCCCTAGAAAGATCATGAGAGGATGGGAGTTAGACTAGCCCTTCCCCACCCTGGGACAGAAAGCAGGAGGCTGACAGCATCCCTGCACATGACTGGGTTCTGAACTTCAGCTGCAGCATGGGTGGTAACTGAGCACAGGCAGGCGAGTCCATTCCCAAGGTGAGCCACAGGGTCTTTCCATCTGTAGAGGGGCCAGGCAGATGTTCTCTGAATGTACTTGAAGACGGAGGAGACATGGAGGATGGCTTGAAGAGGGAGCCTGCCAGCTTGCTCGGGCTAGCATCTGGTCTCATAGATCCCACTCCTGCCAATGTACCTGACCCATTTTATCACATCATGGTCACTGTAGTTCAGCTTTGGCTCAAAGACTTTCAGGTAACGCACCTTCAGCCCAGAGGGCGCGAACGGGACCTATTGATTAAAGGGAAAGGCAACGGAGAGCATTGGAACACAGAGAAAAGATGGTATGCACACAAAACAGCCTGAGGACCCCCAGCCAAGCATCTGGAAACAGACACAGAGTTACTGTTTCCTTCTTTATACCCTGCATGCGTGGTGACAGACTCCATTGGCCTTCAGGGCATTTTTCTTCCTTTAGCTTTGCTACCTGTAGGGGTGGCCTCATGCTAGGAAGAGTCACAGAGCAGTCAGGGACAGGGAGGTCTCAGACCTGAGCAGTTCCCATGAGGGCAGAAGGAAATGACAAAGCATCTCCAGGTTAGCTGTGCCCTGGAAGGTGGACTGACTCACCTCAAAGTTCATGGAGATTGGGGGCCGAGCCCACTTCTTCTTATCATTGGTGGGCAGCAGCTCGATCTCTGCACTGATCTGGGATTCCTTCATTCCAGCCATACGTTTAATCCTATCAGGGAAGGCCCAGAGGTGAAGAAATAACCGAGTCTATTCGCTAGGCATGCTCACTGCAGAGGCACAGAACAGCTTCTGCCTCCCCAAGCTCTGCTCCTGCCCAACCATGCTCACTTACTTCCAGACAATGGCATTCTCACTGGCCTTGTACTTTGCCTTCCCTTTCATACAGATGACTTGCACTCCACTGGTATTGAGGGGGGTTGGGATCCGGACCTGGAAGGAAGAGTCTGGTGAGCAGGGGCAAGGAGACCACAGCCCGACCACTCCACGCAGGCTCACAGGAAGACTGACACTTCCCAGGACAGTGCAGTTGCTGTCCTGGATCCCTTGGCCTTCTCCCTCCATCTCAAGGCCCAGAGTATATCAGCTACCCTGAAGCATCATAGGCTGGCTCTCTGATTTCTTGTGTTGGAGTAAAGGCTCAAACAAGTTCGTAAAATCCACAACAGTCTATGAGGAACAGGGCAGAGCACTTCAGCTCAGGCTACAGATGTGCAGCAGGAAATTCTACTAGCGTCAGACAGATGAGCTCAGGCAGGATGCCAGGCTGCTCAGGGAGGTCTGCTCAGATTGGGCTCTGGGCAGTCTGACTTTGCAGCAACAGCCCTTCCCCAGAAGAGGGCTAGGCTGCACATCTACCCTTACCCTTGGCTGTCTTAAACATCTCATAGCCCACTACCTGTCTGATGTTCTGTTAGATCATGCAGACAGAAGAACATGAGCTTTTCATAGTGGCAAAGATGTTAAGTGAACAGCTGCTTTGCACTCTTCCAAGCAGGTACTGCAGGGAATGAGTCTTCTGCCAAGGAACGATGTTCTTAGTTGCCAATGCAACTAAGAACAGCTTCCACCTCCCTACTACACAGGGCCTCCCCTCCAGCACAGCAGCAATACACATCTGTAGGACTTTCAGTTCACTCTTAGTCCTGTACAAACTTGAGGACTATCTGTGAGACATAACTAGAGACACAGTTCCCAGGCACAAGAAACCTCAAGTTTTATTCTCTTACCTCTATCTTCTGGGCAAGCAAGGAAGGCTTGAAATTTGACTTGATCACCACCTTCACTTCCAGCTTGGTCCGACCCACCTCCCGCACCAGAGGGATCACGCGGAAGGGAAGGATGATGTCCTTAGTGGTTCGGTATCTGCAAGGAGAGAGGCAACAATGAACTCCAAGAAGGAGCTAACTCTTAGGGCCTCAAATTGTACTACCTTCCTAAAGGGACAGCCTCCACACACAGGGAACAGCTTAAAAGCATCAGCCAGAAAGGGAGCCATCCCAAAAGTAAGCAGCAGTTAGATCCGTGCTGCCCTAGGCCACTGATGACTTCGAGTCCCAAGTTCTGTATCTTGTTCCTGCAAAGTGACCCTGTTCAAAGACACCAGTTTTAGGCACTACCAGATACAGTAGGCTAAAGGGCAGGGAAACCCATATCCAATGCCAAGATTGTGACAAAAAAAAAAAAAAAACCAACAACATGGAGCTGGGCTTCTATTGCATCTGTAAAGAAGGACTTGTAAGACACCCTATAGACTGCACTATGAAAAGAAAGGAAGGCAGCACGTTTGCTGCTTCCTCAAGGGCAGCAAGTCTGCCTGGAGACCAGCAGCACAACTGTAGCAGCAAGCAGATGCCAACATCAGATTGTTCATTCCCTATCACCATACCTCATGAGTTCAAACTCTCCATCTGGTGGAATGAAACTGATGCTCCTCTCAGAGTCAAACTTGCTGAGTCTCACACACTGGTGGAAAGTGCAGTCGTCAATGGCAATTGACTGTTTGCCACTAAAACACAAGACAGTTAAACAAGCGCAAGTTGCAGCCCCAGTATGTTGGTGCAGGCAGAGTCTGCTCAGGCAGAAACTATTCTACAGAGCATGTTGCCATCGCAGGTGTCCAGGAAACGGGGAGGCAGGGAGAGATTTAAGGGACAGGCTCTGCTGGCTTAGGCTTCCTTTGTTTCACACTCGCCAAGATCAGACTTCAAGCTCCTCCCCAAGAGGAGAGGTTAGAGCAGCACCCTTCAGTCACAGCCAGGAATGCAACGCTTAGGTCTGCCTGTCAGCAGCTTCTCAGCACTGCAAGGGCAACTCTGCTAGCCCAAGTCTTCTTGCAGTGCAGTCCAAGGGGGGGAAAAGCACTCCCTGTCCACAAAGCTATCCCACTGCCACACAGCTAGGAGATGCCACATTTGGGGTCTACCTGCTCAGAAACCTCCTCACAGCTGAGAATTTCCATGCTGCTAGCTCATGGTTTGACCCAGGACAGAAACCTTCTTCCTCAGGCCAGCATAGCAACCAATTTACTGAGGACAAAAACGCCTGCCACAAACGTTTTCATGTTTTTTATTTCTAAAACCTAGACAGCTAATGTCTGTGCAGCTAGGTGCACTGGACTAACCTGCCAGTACTCAACCTGTATCGGGTTCCAGTTTGACAATGTTTTCCTTGCTACAGGTCCCAGAGTTAGCCAAGAATGCCTCTCGGGTACTGAGAGGAGCTAGAAAATGAGACGGAGGCACCAGCATAGAGAAGGTGCGGCAATGTAGGATTATGATATCTAGGCTGCCTCAACTGCTGTGAGCAACAGGACAGCTATGTAAGCGCATAGAGATAGTATAAGCAACACAGGCCTGTTTAGTCATACTGAGACCCCACCATTACCTGCATATGTGGGAAGCAGACCGAGTCCAGGCTGAATGGTTGCTTACTTTACACAGCCCACTGGTGTAGCTTATGCTCCATAAGTGAAGGTTAGTCTTTTCCAATCTATTGCCCAGATGACAGCCAACATTAGCAGACTTGTTCTTTGGTTTCTTTGGAACGCTGCTGGGAAAGCTCTGCTGCCTAGCACCGGTTCAAGTCTCAAGCAGCATTACTCAGAGGTTTGGTACTGCCACGTGCTAGACGCCAAAAAACAACTAGCAACAGCTGTCCCTTTTGGCCACTTTATTACTAAATGCTTCTGGACAGTGACATCTCTGAGCTCTTGCCTACTGGAGAACCACAGTTTGGGAGAGCCACCCAGCAAGAGCTTTAGCTCCATCCTGCTTCTCTAACTCAAGAAAATGGTGTATTTACAGGTGAAGATGCTCATACAGCATAAAAGTTTTAGGACAAACATTGTTATTGACTGTTCAGAAGCCTACACAGATGACGTTTTCACTAGGGTATTTCACTACAGGCCAGCACCTGAGGCTCAGTCCATTTTACTGACTAGATCCAGGTACTGGAGAGATTAAAGGTGACAGTGAAGTGACAGCTCTTGGCTTGGTTCTAAGAGAAAAGGCAAACAGCAGCTCAGCTCAGTTTACAGGAATCATCATGGAAAGTGTCTGAGATCTGGGTTACATGCACAAGTCAAAGCAGTAGACGAGGAAGGAAGCAGAGTGCACATGTAGCTGAAGCAGATTATCTACCTTCCCAATTCACTGGGGGGTCAGCAAAAAAAGCACACAAAAGAAACAGTTGAGTCATAAATGGTTAGTGGGAGAAAAAATGGCAGTCCCTTTGCTTTGATCTCTTCCCCTTAAGCAGTAACACTGGAAAAAAGCATAAAGTCCCTCTTCAGCATAGGATAGGTGCTGATTGAGGCACAGCTGGGAATGAAGGTAGCTGACTCCCAAAAGGGTGAGCCTCCAGCCCACATTGCTGCTAACGATCCTACATCAGCAGAAGGGGCTTACCCAAACATTAGCCCTGTCAGCTGGAACAGTCTGGAACATGTTATGGCCAGAGGGGTTCCTTCACTGTTCCTTGGGGGCACTGTTCCTGTATCCTGCAAGAGCCTCTGCACCAACTAGAGCTGCTAGAGACACAAGCTCTGGGAGAATCATTTTTGGAGGAAGGTTTCCAGCTGCAAGAACTCCACACTCGGCACTATATTTGAATCTTAATACTTCAAGAAAGATGACAGCCCAGAGGATCCCACTGCTCCTGATACTTTCCCATGCATAGGTGTGAAGTCTGACACCTAAGATGTGCACAGGTGAAGTGTCATTAGCCCTGCTATGGGGAAGCCCTTTATATCAAGGCCCTGAGGTTGTTACCTTGCAGGATAACTGACCTACCCAGATGAAAAACTAGCGGCAATACCTGAAAAGAAGGAAAGACAAGCTTCATCTGTCAGATCAGAGCAGCTACTAAGTGCTCCCTTTCATAAAGGTCCCTGGTAGCAAGTGACTTTTACCCCAACACGTCTTACCTTTTCCCCGTTTCATCCGCAGTCCCTTTGCCCTGTTTTTCAATGACAATCTTGTCATTCATGCCAAACTTGCACTCTGGCATTCCACTCAGATAACTCTTCATCACCACTCTGCCAGAGACATGGGCACTCAAAACCTGACCTGGTGTAGAGAAGAATGCAGTTCAGAATACACATGCAAGTCCCCACTCAAGAGCCCTGAAGGGCAAAAGGATGCCAGCTTAGCACTTCCCACTTACCCTGGGGGGACATCAGGAGATTCACGCTCTCCAGCACATCAAGAAAGAGTTCATTGCGACGATATTTGATCCCTTCACGTCTCCATCCAATCTGTCCAGTCACCTGGCTGGTGATCTGGGACTGCTCTTCCTTAGTCTGAAGGGAAGGAGATGACATCTTAGACCTCTAGATAAACACAAAGACTAAGAAAGCTTGCTCTAAATTAAGAGGAAGCACTTGCCATTTACTGTACACAACTGCTTCTGCCACTTAAGAGGTGGGTGTTGTCACACGTCCCGTGATTTGGTCACCAAAGCAGTGCTCAGTGCAGTGAATTCTGTGCCTAACTACAAATTGGTCCTCAAGACAGCAAGAAAGATTTTTTTCATTTTTGTTAGCTACTCTATCAGGCCACACTTTAGGTGTGGGAGGGTGTGGGCTCCACTGATGACTTCCAAGTCATGGCTGACAGACCATCACATCAATCCATATGTTAGGGAGGAAGGCAGCTGCCAGGCCAATTTGCCACCCTTATCTAACATGAGGCAGCCAGTCCCCAAGGGCTGCTTCTTGCCAGCATGCAGTTTGGGGCAACAGTTCTACGCTGACGCTAACCTAACACATATCTAGCAGTGTTCAGGCTCTAAGCCTCCTAAGAGCGCTACGGATTATGTTGAGAGGCACAGCAAGGTCTCCTACCTGATGCTATAGGCGGGGTCCAGTCACACGCAGAAAGTGAAGAGGTAGATGTATAGCAGCAAGTGTGGTGCACACAGGGTTAACAGGCAAGCAGGTCAATAGCAAGAAAGGGGAGGAAGGGAGAAAGAGGCAAGTTAGGCTTAAGGCTACCTCAGGACAGGAACAAAGCAGTGCAGCTCATCACTAACTAGGCAGCAAAAAACAAGATGAGGGGCTCGGACCTTTAGCTCAGGAAACCCACTACTCCCAGTCGTGAAATGGCTTTTCAGGCTTGGCCCATCACGTACCACTCAAACAGAAAGCAGCAAGATGGAATGACAGACAGGCCAAATACCACTCCCAGCGACACTCCTAGGCAGGGCAGACTCCTCACAATGCCATTCCTAAAGCAAGCCCTGAATGTTTACTATGGCATAGACAACCAGACTATGAGAAGTACTAGGCATCCAGCACCATGGGCATTTTAATAAGTCTGGTTCCTATAAAAAGTTATGTCCTCATTAATTCTGCCTCTTCTACCAGAAGAGCAGAAAGCAGAAGTGGGTCTTGCCCCAGCAGCCTTGCACTGGGGCCACAGGGTGGCAGTGCATGAACTCAAGTTTTAAACCAGCAATGGTTCAGTTCCACATGGGGCTCTTATCAGGGACTTGGTCACTCCTTGAGCTAGCAGACCCATTACAGTAACATCCAAGAGGCAGAGCATTTTTTACTCCATCGGGAACTGCTTAGATAAATGCTCAATGCAGTGCAAAGTAACTCCCTTGTCTGCCCCACAAAAAGCCTCCTTATTTGCCCTGTTCAGTGCTCTGTTCAGGCTCAAAAGGAAGGAGAGGAACAAGCAAATATGATACTCAGTAGCCTGGCTTCCAAAGCAGCATCAGTTACTCAAAGGGTCACTGATCATGTGCAGAAGCTCCCATCTCCTGCAAGAGCAGGAGCATCATGAATCTCTGCTGGTCATTACAGAAGGGAACTAGGCCGATCTGGAAGCAGATGCCTGGGGAGTGCTCAAAGCTGAAGTCACCCAGCAGCATGAGTATTTCCTTCAAGAGGGACTGAAGGCACCCTGGTCAGAAATTGTTCTGGACTAGGAGCTTCCCTGAACTGGACAAACAAGTCAGCAAAAACAGGAAAAGAACATCCAATTCCTTAATTGCTCAGTTGCCAGCATATTGGACTAGGTAAGAGGCAGGTAGCTACCACCAGGTTTTCGGGGCTCTGGCAGACTTTCAGCTGATAGCAGACCCCTCACTAGCATTTTACTGCTACAGCATGCCTAAGGCTTGAAGAAAACACTGTACCTAGGAGCTGAGCATGTCAGACTCCCAAAAAGCACTTGGAGGGTTAAGGAAACACTCAATTTGTTCGTTAAGTCTGGACAGACAGGAGCTGATGACAGAACTCAGCACACAGCCATCACTTCACCTAGAGCTGTAAGGCCAGGTTTAGCCTCTTCTAGAGGAAGGAATCTGAGCCAACACTTGTACCAGGGTTCCATTAAGGGAGAACAGTATGGTCTGCAGTTGTGCTAGTCAAGCAATGGGCTACCTACCACTCCATACGTAAGAGCTAGAAGGAATGCCATCTTACACACCAGCCTCTCTTAGTCTTCTAGCATGCTGCATGACCTCATCCCCAGAGTGCTGGGGTAGTCTCCTTGGCAAGCTACATAGCAATGTCAGATCCACCCCTAAAAATAAAGCAAGACTTAAATCCTAAGCTCACCAATCCTGGCAAGACCACTATATCCATATAGGGTGGCAATTCAAATGGCAGCAGCCCAGTAAACCTCAAATTTTATCTAAGAACAAAGTCATAAGGCTGAGAGTTTCCAAAGTCTGCCATAACAGCAGATTATGGTCTTCAAATACAGCAGGACATAAGCCCAAGGAATGCACTATCATGAACCAAGCAGGGATAAGGGAACATAGATGACAGACCACCCCAGTCGCCGATTTTGGCCCACAGTATCTGCCAGAAGTTGGATCCAAATGAAGCAGGAGTTAGAAGCTAAATATATCAGAGTAGAGAGCAGACAAAGAAACTTGGCAAGTGTTTGAATTGGTTCCCTTTGCTGTACAGTGCCTGGAAAGGATTGCTTCTGCTCTTTTTGAGCAGAACTGGGGTCCCACAATCCCAGCATACAAAACAGTAGTTTTGCACCATTAGTTATGGGAATCTGTAGGCCAAAGTGTCTTCTCTTCGTAGGAGAAGGACTAATAATATCTTGTTGAATGAGGCAAGATGCAGCAACAACTAAGCTAGAGCTTTACAGTAGCGTGCACACAAATAGCATAAGAGTTTGTTAAAACAGACAAAGTAAAAAAAAAAAGAAAAAAAGAAAAAGAAAGTTAGGGAAGGAAGTGAGGGTGGTAGTTTTGAGTTTTCCTAGGTACAGGAGCTGACTCAGCTAGCCTGAGTGCTGACTGCCCAAAACGTCAGACTGCAGAATGCTGAAGTGATTTATACTAGGGCTCAGGATGGGGGACGGACACCGGATGCACTCACATCTGGCCGCTGATACACGTCCTCTTGCTAAACGCTGTTTGCCTTTCTAGCAGGAAATGTGTCACTTGGGGACAGCTGAATGCTTCTATTTCATCTCTGTAGCCAGAGATGCAGCTAGTCTTGCTACTAATTGACTACAAGTTTAAAAAGAAACTCTTCGGAAGGGAGAGCTGATAAAAAGAGCTGAACCAAAGCCTCAAGCGACTTCGATCCCTGCTTATCCTCAGCAAGAACAGTAGCGAGGCGGTTTCTTGTTTAGCACTTTGCTTCCATTTGTCCCTTGGTGCTGAAGTTTCACCCTACTAGAGACTGACTCCCTGGCTCACCCGCTACATAGGGGAGAGGACAGAGTTTTAGGCCAAGTTCTCATTATGAATTGCATAACCTAGTCAGATGGAAAGGTGTCACTTGACCAATGAGGTGAGCAACATGCCTTGGGGACACAAGAAATAGTGGGTGTAACAATCCTTTGGTTTCAGAGGTCCAGCATAAGCTGTCCATGATGGGAAGGTTTGTTTTTAGGCCTGTAGCCTGGGGTAGGATTGTAACTAGTTTGAAAAACATTCCCAGGAAGAGTCTCATTAAAGTGTCTTTTTCCCCAGATGCCCTTTTTCTCCTACATCCATTGTAAACTTTGATGCAAGGATTACTACTGTGCCACATGCACAGCAGAGAACTTCATCTCTAACATGAGAAAGCCGAGTCTGTACTGATACATCTGTTGATCTGCAAAGATGTTAGAACCGGCAACATAACACTCGTGTCCTGATTAAGGGCAAGTTCCATGAGGCTTAAGAATACTCCATCACAAAGCAGGCATGAAAGCACTAGAGGCCAGAGAATAACAGCCCTGCTCATTGAGACGCACACCTAGGAGAGCTATTTCTGGTTCAGTATGCAGATATTTATTCTCTGTCAGAAGCTCCATCTGATGTAGACCAAGAACCTGAAGCCAGCAATCACTTACATGCAAGGACTGGCGTTATCACAGTTCAGGGCCCTTCCTCCCTGACCTTAGCAGGCCCCAGTGCATATGAGGTCACATAAGTGCAGATACCTAGAATGAGATGTCATCAAGCCACTACCCTGCCAGCATGTTCTCAACCTACTCAGGCACCTGCTCTCAGCAGAGATCAAACAGTCAGTCTGGAAGTCAAGACTACTTTCTTAAACAGGCTTACAGAAACAAACCAGCAGAGCAGCGATGTACCCCAAAACCCCTCCAATTACCTGACTCTTGATGCCTTGCTGAGTGATGAAGGTTTTCAGGGCCCCTGTTTCAGAGTTTTGAGGATAGCCAAAGTCCAGGATTTCTATAGAAGGGTAAAAAGAACGATTAGCTCAGAGAGCCACAAGTCAGAACTGCAAGGTAAAAGCAAGCCAATCATGCTAACCATGGTCTTATAAGCAGAGAACAAACTAGTGAACTAGCGTGCAGATGCTGCTTACACATTACACCTTTGGGCAAGTCTCTGGAGCATTCTTTACTCAGAGAAAAAGTCTTGCCAAGCTGACTTTTCTGCACAGTCAACTGCAGGGTTCTATTTATTTATTTTGGGAGAGAGGAAGAGTGAGGAGAAGCTGCCCAGAAGGATGAATGAATTTGCTGGGGTTTTTTTTGGTTTGTTTGTTTTGTTGTTGTTTTTTTAATGAGCTGCACTTCAGGTCTAAGTATCTGTTAAATAAAATAGGCATCCAGGGCATATTGAGGAGAGCTTTCTTTCACAAGCATCCAAGGGACAGTGAAGAGGGTTTATCCAACAGCAGAATAATCTCTCTTTGCAGCATTTTCTTTAGGCTTTGATTTTCACCTGAAAAATGTAATTTAAAAAATCAACCCCCCCCCCCAAAAAAAAAAACAGAAACAGCAGAGTAGTGACACTGCAGGGTGATCAATGTGAGAAAACACCTATTAACTACAGACAGCTAATATACTTAAAACCCCCAGAGAGGAAGGAAGCAATCCACGTGGGATCCAGAGGAGATAGAAGACCACTAACATGAATACTGAGTAACAGCACATTGGCAAGTTTTTAATCTCACTGTGCCTACTAGGAGACAGCACTGCCTGACTAAAGCAGAGAAACAGCAGCTTCTTGATCTGCCCAGAGGGAATAAAGAACCCATCAGTCACTGCGACTCTTGGCTAAGAATCCCAGTACACCCACATTTGCGGCTTCTTGTCTAGGGAACAAATTGAAGCATTACTAATACAAAGTGTTCATGTTACGCCAAACAAAGACAGCTCAAGGGCAGTCTCCACAGGCAGGCCGATATCACGAGTAGCTGAAGGCACACCATATTATTATTCCACAGTGCAATTCAGAGCTGCATCTTTGGGGGAGGTAGGGCTAGGACAGAGAGTTTGGTTTTATTGCTTTCCTTCTGTTCTCTCAGAACTGCCACAAAGACGCTATTTAGAGCGACAACTGTACTGACTTTAACCAGAGTGACCGCTACTACGCCAGGCCTGAGCCACCTGGGCTCCAGCTGAGATGGCTGGCTTTAAAGGAGCTTACGACCGTTCTCCTCACACTCCTCAGTATAACAGCAGCCCTGTATATACATAGGAATCACACAGAAGCTGGGGTCCAGTACTGGTTGCCTCATTTATACCAGTGCACAGCACCACGCTTCAGCTGAGCGAGCCATGATTAACATACAGCTATAGGCTTAAAGACAGGTAGAACTAGAAAGCAGCACAAGTCCTTTTGAATTCCAATCACATACTAAAGATACTTCAAGGATTATTTCTACATGAGGCTAAGCTAAAGGCTACAGAAAGACAGAGTGCAGCATCACATAGCAGATAAGGGAAGCCACTTACCATCCAATAGCTCATAGATCAGCACAAAGTTGTTCTTTATGTTCTCCTCACTGATCTTCCCAAAGTAGGCAGTCATCACGTCACACATCTTGTAAAGAAACTCAAATACCATGGCAGCATTGACATTCTGCTTGGTGACAGCAGCCAGCCAGATGTTGGAACGCTTGACATGGAAGAAACTGGTGCGGGCGATGTTGGTGACAGGCGAGCGTACCTGCTGCCGTGCGTGGATGACATTGACGCGGAAAGCGTCCACAGCATTCCGCCTACGAGATCACCACCAAAGGGAAGTTAGCACAGGGTACGTGAAAACAAGTTGGCTGCATAATTCTGCTGGTGTGATTACAGCCAGACATCAAACTACATACACTCAGTCCTCTTATAAAGGGTGTTTGGGGATGTCTCAGCCAAGAGGGACAACTGAAGGCTCTGAGCAGAGTTACACATTAAACCCTGCACAAAGGAGAGGACGGAGAGCTACTGGTCTCTAAGGAGCTTTGGACTACAATGCAACACTAACTGTAGTCAGAAGGAGAGGCTAACCTCCACCTGGAGTCAGACGGCAGAGAAACCTCCCTTCGATTAACTTTGCTAGTACTCCCGATTTATTGCCATAGCCAGGTACAAAGGCTAGAACAGGCTGTGGCTCACTTAGAGAGAAGCACAGTTTTGACTAGACAGTCTGTCTACTCTGCATGCCCAGGCCTTCATACTCCTGCCCAAGGCAGAGGATATCTTGGGAGACCGCAGCTTTGAAGGTAGTTCCTGACAGACATACTGCTGAGGAAAACACAGCAAACCCTACCCCGGTCACCCAACTGATGTCAGTACCCAGGTGTGCTCTGAAAGGGATTATTGCTCTCAGAAGCTTTAGTTCTCAGATCCATCTCACCTCCATACCCCAGGCACTATGGAAGGCAGGCTCAAAGCAGCAAGCAGGATTCAGAACTTTGTCTTTCCAGTTACATATGTCCTCTCAAGACTGCTATGCTTTGGAGTAGCTCTCTGGCAGGTGGACTTATGGTCCCCACGGTGCAGCATGCTGCAGCAATGCTTAACATGCACTGGATGGTCCAGTACCATTTATTATCGTAAGGAATTTCTGCATAGCACAGAGAACGTACTGTGCAAGTTTCCCTTTATAGCTGCCATCATCTTTAATCCAAGCTTTTTTTCCCCACTGTCCACGCTAGTGATGATATGGAAGAAATTCCTCCTGGGTACACAGGGATGTACAAGTGACATTCTGGATAACAGTTCTTCCATGCTAGAGTTACGTTATCCTGTAACTGCTAGTCAGGATAAGCTCCCTAATTTTAAGCCTGCTAACACTAAGGACATCAACAGAAGTCTGAGGGCTTTCAGTGACAAGCTTGAGACTTAAAGCAAAAGTCTAGACACCAAGCCAAGACTCATCTAGCCGTGCTTACTTCATAGTCCTCTTTAGAAGCTATGCAGAACAGGGGGTCTCCCCACTGCAGGGTCAAGGCCAAGGTACCGATTTCCAGAACCACGTTCAAAAGCAGATAACAATACCCTTGCAAGCAGCAGTACAGGCATACAGAGGCCCACAATCATTGAGGGTTGTCAACAGTCTAGTAGACGGTTCCAAGTTGGAAAACAAAGGGATACTCAAAGGAAAGTATGCTACTGTGGTAGGTGTTAGATTGCTCCTTGAAGGTCTGGGTACATACACAGAAGCTTCGTCAGTAAACAGCCCCCCCCCGCCCCCAAGGGACATTCCAGCCCTCAAAAAACTTCAGGTTCTTATTGCTCCAGGAATCTTGTAAATGAGTCAAATTCATACTTGATTTCTACCTTAAGTTTTCCATAAGAATAGTTCAATCTATTGTAAAACAACAATATCTGAGTCCCATTCCTCCCATCCAGTAAGCCTTGCAAGGAAAGTTTAGCTTGTTCTGGAGCCTTAGCCCTCCCAGACTTAAGTTCTAACCCAACAGAACAAGTACCAGAACCAGCAGACTGGTTTATGCTAGAGGGAAGCCTCAAATTGGTGAAGCTTTTCTAACACACACCAATTGCCCACTGTGCTGTGCCAGTCATGGCCTACCACGCGCCTCTTACCTATTGCTACAGCAGCCAATGAGATGGGATGGACAGAAATGGCGCCAGCGGAGAAAGGAGGAGTGACAGCAACAAGAGAAAGGGTTAGAAACACACACACAAGGCACAATGAATCCAAAGAGATAAGGAGAGACCAAACAGCACCCCCTCCCCCTATTCCTGGGCACAAAAGGCCAACAAGGTATCGGATGGAAAGTAACAAGCTGTGGCAGCAATGAAGCCCTTGCAAGGCACAACACTGACATGCCGTGGCCAGATTGTCAGTGCTGACAGACTTGTGTTTGGTTCAATTTCAGGTACGATTGGGCGTTCAGTCCAGATAAACCGCATCCATATCACATCAGCAATACTCAGTATGCTCTAAGAGAAAAAAGGACCTTGGAGGGAAAAACCCAAACCCTCAAACTGAGGCATATAGCCTGGAGACTTTAGAGTATCAGGTATCTTCTTCCCAGTCTGCCTCCAAGTCCAAGTGGGCATTTCTATCACAATGCTCATGTGAAGCTGTTCAGGCTGATGCTTCTTGGCTTGGTCTAGCCAACAGGAAATACAGCACGTTTGATAGAGCTGGAGCACGTCTGGAGGGACATGGCACATCCTGCAAATTCAGACACTGCTCTATCCAGCTTGCGCTTTTTCCTTAAGGATCAAGAACCATGAAGCAGAAGGGATGTATTAGAAGTTCAGAAACCAAATGCCTATTATGTTTAAAGTGCATGCAGTTTGTCATTTAAGCTGCTCAGTTTTAAATAGCTTATTTTTAATCAAATAGTTAAATATTTAACTACAGGTAGAATCTCCCAGTAACCATGTCATTGAAGAACAAGGCACTTGAAGGTCCTTCCACGGTATCCTGAATTAAATACACAGTGCTTTGCTTATAATATTAAGAGGCTGCTTATACATGCAGCTAGTTGCTGTACGGACAGATGCACTACATGCATTAAAGCCATTCTTTTAAGTTGCAAGCAGAGAAAAATCCAAGTTTTGTGGTATTTCCGCATTTAACAAACCAATCAAGGGAATGGTTTCTTCATTGACTGCCACTTCGCTCATTAGCTTTTGAGCTAGTATGTGCTTATTTAGACCCTTGGACTGCACAAGGGGAGGGGTTCTCATTACCACAAATAGCTTTTAATCTCTCCCAACAAGTAGGTCGAGGCTTCCGAACGCCAAACATGTGCTAAGATCAAGGAGTCTTAAGGGCCAATCACTCAGAGCCTACCTGAAGACAGGCAGCAGCTATGCTCATTTCCCATTCAACCTATCTCCAGAAAGCTAGAAGGGCTTAACACCAAGTACTTTACCGTACAACTTAATTCCGTAATGAATAGGTCTAGTCTACAAATCTATCACAAGGCTGTTTAGCAACAGAACTCCTACAGAGGCGAGTACAAGCTCACAGCGTCAAGGCGGTTCCCTCCCTACCTCTTTCTGAGGACTAGGCTACTAAAGCCTCTTAAGTACACTTGGTATTGATGAGAATATCCAGACTAGCAAGTGGCTGATACTCAGTTCTACTTGCTTGCTACAGAGGTGAAGATACTAGCTTAGTTTGATTCCACCACAAGGTAAGACACAGCCATTTTAAAATAACTTGTTTTATAAGGTTACATATCTTAAACAATCGCAAACCAGGTTTCAAGATCTGTATCAGAGGGAATCCAACATCTTGGGGAGTAAGCTTGATTAATAGTTGGCATGAGCTCCACCTAAGTCACGAGAGTGACAGAAAGGCGCTGTCACAGAACTTGAGTGAAGGATTTCACTCAAGACAACACTGAACCGAAGTTCTAGTGGAAGGACTTGAATTTTCTGGCATCCTTTTCCAAAGGAAAAAAATGATAAGACAGGCTCAATAAGAAGTCCCATTTTCTAGTTTTGCCTGACCAGCTGGCAAGTCAGTACTTCTCAGGTACTGAACACGAGTCACTCAGTTTATAAGAGGAATGAGCCAAGATAAAAACAAGTGCAAGAGCACTACATTAGAAGATGAACTTCACTCACCAATTTACATTTTCATGGTAAGAAGTCCTTTCAAATTAAAAAGTCTTCCTGAATCAACATCAGTTCAAGCATAACTCCATCTCAAGTGCTCCAAGTTTGCAAGCCACAGGAGAATTTACTGCCAGGAACTCCAGTAACAGTGTCCCTAGCCATGCACGACACATTCTCAAAACTTATCTATAATCCAGCCTGGCCTGTTTCAGCCACCATAACACCTACTACCTAGGGAGAACTTTACAAAGTCAGATTGGGCACGTTAACTGCTTTGAAGAGCTTCAGCAGCAAACATTCAGAAGAGCTGACACAGCAGAGGACAGGCAGAAACTTTGTAGCCAAAAGCTTTCTGCTTCAGAAGTACAAAGCTTTGCACTCTTGGCAAGGCCTTGGCTCAGCTCTGCACGGAGGCCTGTGTCAGAACCGGGTTAACTTAGCTATCCCTAGAACAGCTAGTTTAGTCTGCACTGAACTGAGAATAAGCCAAGAGATATTTAAAGTTCACTAGGTGAAACTTTAATTACAGACACTGCGTTGACCACCACTGTTTCATTGGCGCAGTAGAAGTCTTGACTAGCTGCTAGTTTTGCCTCAGATTTAAGCACTAGAGCGCATCTCTTCTGGATGTGGATTGTCTTTCGACTAGAGCAGTTTGAAGGCAGAGTTGCTTGACAGCTTAGCGTAATTTGGGGCAACCAGTTACTTCACAGTACATCCTATCACTATGCCTCTTGAAGACCTGGTTAGAACTATACCTTTCCCCTAAATTGGCTAAAAACAATCTCACTTGTTGTATTTGTGATTAACATCTACCACTGTCCTGCTTCCGTTAGCTATGTTCTGACTCTGCTAAGTTCAATTCCTACCTTCTACCTAATGCCTAACACTAATGAAAAACCACTAGGAACAGTCCTGTCACATGAGAAAGCCACTTAAGGTTTTAGTCCAAGCAGTAGTATCGGTTGTTATTAGCTTCCCTAAAGCACTATGTACTGCCCATAAAACACTGAAGTTTCACTTCCCAGTCAGGAACTTAATAGCAATCCAAGGGCTGTACAGCTCCAGCCTAAGCGAGCAACACAACGCTTGTCTGAAGTAGAGCGAGACACCTACAATCTACTGAAGGCTTTCAGAGCTTCCCACAACTTCAGTTAACCCATGAGTGTAAGCTTTTTCCATACAAAGCAGTCAAGGCTACCAAGACTGTATACAAACTTGGGGTCCAGAACGTTGACTTCTCAGAGTACATAGGTGGTTACTATGAGACTGCTTGCAGAGACGATACCTTTGTAAGGTGCCAAATACCAGGGACAACGTCTTCTGCATACCTGTACTTGATGCTAGACACTTGTGTTTGAAACCTAAATCAGAACCATGGTTATAAGGCATGGAAGATTGTTTCCACGTTACTACTCCTGTAAAGTTTTGAAAAACTGCGAGACTGGTAGACTTTTGCGATGGCAGTCCATGCTGTTGAAGCATTTGGAGTAACAATCTGATCTCTACCAAAAGTCAGTACTAGCTTTGCCTGCAGGCCATCCTTTGCTACCATCTGCGGGTGATCAGCGCTTAGTAAACTCAAGAATATTTCTGAACTGAGCCTAGAGCAGCAAGTTGAGTTGCAGTCTCACATGCATGCACAGCTAATGCAGAACAAAGCAGCTCTGGGATGTTGCCCGCACCAAAGTGAGGTAGAAATGCAAAGACCAAGGATGCAGCAGAAGCACTTACCCAATGTCATCCCGGTAGACTCGAGAGATTAAAACCTCTCCTTTGTGATTATAGATGAATAAGCCTCCGATCATGATGGAACTTCAGTCTTCCCTTTCCATGTTGCTTAAGACCTGAAGCAATAGAGTGCACATATTAGGCTGCATGGCAACAAGCAGAACAGGACAGACAGACTTTGACATCCACTTGCTTTTAGCCAGGGTATAGATAGCTTTGTGTGTCACCACACCCCCAGAAAGAGGCAGCAGTCACTTCATATGATAAATCACACAGGTATGGTAAGAAGTTAGAAGATGAGCTCCTCTTGTCCAGAGCAGCACTCCAAAGATTTTTGCCAAAAGAGTTCATCTAAAGCCAATTGCTCTATCACCACTAAACCGTCAGATATAAAGCTGCAAAAACCTTTAGTTTGTTCAAGCACATGAACAGCGATCACCAGAAAAAACAAACAAACAAACTTCACTGCCTTGTTACCACGCTAACTATACCATAACAGCCAACATCCTTGACTTGCAGCTCTACAAAGGTCATAATCCTGTATCAGTAACTTCACAACTAAAGTACCAGCCTGGAGGAGTAACAGAGTTAAAGTTATCACACCAAAAAGTTATTCACTTCTTTTTTGGAGCTGAGGTAATGAAAACTCTCCATCCCCTTAAGACCTATTGTAAACAGCACTGCTCAGATTTACATTCTGCACATTTAAATTTAAAATACAGGCAGCTACGAACTGGGGTGGCAAGGACCTGATAGCACACATCTTGGTGCCATAAGAATAACGGACTTCAGCAGATTGCTGGGTTGAGAATAGGTAGAGGGCACAGACAGAGATATTCCTGGAAGTCTGATGGCATGGGATACTCTGGCTGGTTGGTCTTGGTACTTCTGGCCAGGCTGGCACATGGCTGAGGCCCAGGAGGGCAGCTAGTTACTCAGAAGTGGCTTGGATACCAGAAGTGACTGCCTCATCCTTACATCCTGAAGGGGAGAGCACAGATAGAGCTCCTTACTTATAAAAGGCTATTAGAAATAGTGGTTTACTCTGGGACGGAGTCTCATTGCTGCAGACGGAGATTATGCTGTTTGCTCTTCCGGGACTCTATATGGAAACTGCTTTCCCAGCACAGGGTATAGAGGTACCATGAGAGACTTAACTACATCCAAGCCTCCCTACATCAGGACTACTCCAAGTATGACAGGCCATACAACTGCAGGTCAGTGGAAAACCTCAGTCACCAGCCCAACCATCAGCTATTTCTTCCTTCAACCAGGACACTGTGGTGTGATGTACACCTGAGGGACAACAACACATGCTCAGTGAGGAAGCCTGCCAGAACCTACAGCCTTATTCCAGATCTAAGGAGCCACCACAGGAACCCTGACAAGGGCCTAACCAAGTAACTTCCTTAGCTTGCCTTAAGGACAAATTAGCTCAAGAGGTGAGGTCCAGGTGAGTAAATACAGCTACCATGCATCCAGTAATACAGATCAAAGTAAGGCATTGAAGGGCATGCAATTTGTAGTCAGGACTGAAGCTCAAAACAAACACCAAAATAAAGGAGGGCTTATTTCTCATTCCATTCATCAGCACAAATAAAACAGTATTGAGGCTCAAGAACTAGTCAGGCCTCCCTCTTGAACGCAAGGAAAAATAGAGGCCTGGCACCGGAAGCAAATCACATCGTGTCTCTGCAATGACAGATCTAAATCAGATTTTACTTACAGTTACCTCTTTCCTGCATGCAGTTCTCAGAAGCTTTTGAGATGTCACCAAGCCTACAGCTGTATGGTGGGGGTTCTCAGCAGCAAGTATGCAGAGGTTTGTTACTGCTTCTTACAAAAGCCTAAGATTGCTTAACTTAAAATTACAGCAACAACGAATTCCATAGTAGCAACAATCAATCTGGTTGTTCTAATAATTCAGTTCGCTGGATGAGTAGCAATCAGGCAGAACACTTCAAAATAGATCCTTCTAACCATTAAGTCCACAGATAAGGATTATTTAAACAGCATCTTGACAAAGTTCAAAACAGACCTGCTTAGGATCATACCTGCCCAATAGCATTGACTGCATTAGTAACTAGATGCAAAAAGCTAGCAGCTGCCATTAGCCAAGAAAGGACTTTAAACAGCTCATTCAGAATATTGGTTATCCATATACCAGCAAGCGTAGCTCAAGACCAAAAGCAGTTGACTAGTTTATTAAAAGCAAAGGGCGATGGGGGACTGCCACAATGCACAAGGAGTTAAGTCCACATACTGCTACATTTTAACTGCTTTCACAGCTTGTAGCTTAGTGTCTGCAGCTGGAGTCGCTAGATCTAATTTCTTGAAGTGCCAACATCTTGCATTCACGATGCAGGCATAAAGCATAAGAGGTGACCAGAGGAGCTGGGGGGTCACCCTAGTTACTTAAACTTCTAAGCTACTTTGAGCTCAGCCATCTCGACTGCTTGTTCAAAAAGTGATTTCATGTAGCAATGTTACAGCCTTTGAGCAAGGGGTGCGAGCTCCGCTTCACAGTTCAAACGGAGGGTAGTCTGGCCACAAGATACTACTGCATTGGGAGATCTCATCCAAGACCACTTAAGCGGGGGCTAGCATCTTAGAAGTTACCCCTTAAACTGCTAATCTCCTCCTTCTTTAGAGGAAGGCCAGTCTAAAGAGAGCTACAAGAGTGGCAAACAGCGTCTTATGCCTCAGTAATGTCTCTTTAATGCATAGCTTCTCAGATGCCGTTCCTGTAGCCCTACGTCCTACCTCACTTAAGTCCAAGTCATAATATCCACTCTAGCAGCTGCCTGGGGGCTTAGCCCAGAGAAGAGCACAAGCATGATAGTGTAAGCCTCATGACTAGCCCTGGGAAGATCATATAGGTGTTCCTCAGCTTCCACACTGCGGAGCACTAGATAACCAACCAACTCCACACTGCTGTTCGGGTGGGTTAGCCTACGCCCAGTTGTCCTGGGTGGGTGGGAAGGATAGGAACAGGCTAGCCAAAGAGACAGATGGTGACAGTGAATTGATACGCGTTTGCTTCAGGAACACAGCAGAGATGAAGTGACCTAGCCTCAGATCATCTGGAAGGTCAGAGGAAAAACAAAACAAAAACCACACAGAAGCAATACGGAGATCAGAGGGATGAAAGGACTTCTAGGGTAAAGTCTGCAACATTAGCAGACTTTACGTTACGTTGCAGAAAAAAGTTACGTTGCAGAAACTAAAGCGGCTGCCTTTCTGAAGGCGTTATTGCAGATGCAAGTTCTATGCAAGACAAAATTCTTACAGTGCAGGCAGTACAGCGCAGTGTTTTCAGAAAAAACAAAAACTTTTTGTCTCATGAGCCTTTATACCAGGAGTAGCATTTGTCGGCTGCACCTAAGGAGTCCTCAGAGAGTATCATTACACGTACTTCTCTACTATGGATCTTTAGCTACCAGATGGTGGCTCCTGCTTACTAAAAGAAAAATCAAAAAGTCAACCTATAAGTCAAAACCTTGAGAAAACTGCTTATTTGTCTGTTTCTCACTGCTTAATAGTGAGCTTCCTCACTTTTACTCCCAGTCTACTGCTCAGTGTCACTGGCCAATTGAGAATAACAGGCTGCCTCTTGCCACCTGCTAGAAGCTGCATGTGGCACTGTCATCGTTATTGATGGCCTGAGACTCCATCTAGCATGAAAGATCATTTTCTGCAGCAGTGGAGCAAAGTTAGGCTCAGACTTTAGCATGCTGGTGGCAGTTCAGCTCTTGCATACCTCTGCCTCAGTACTGTGAAGCTCTGAAACCTCACCAGAATGACAACTTTCGTTCCCACTACAAAGTTACAAAAGAAGTTACAAAGTTAAAGGCACTTTGTAACTTCAGGACACAAATATTTCATGGCACTTACATGAAAAGTCTCTTGTATCCCCATGCAGCAACCAAACCAATTAACCCAGAGGCAACACACGTTCAGAGACACCCATGTAATCACAGAATGAGAAAAGCCTTATGAAGCTTCTCACTGCCCCATACAGGGAGAATGAGACTATACAGTATAGAAGGCAGCAAGGCCAACACTGCCACACCAGAAGACAAAGACAATCCATTTGGTTAATAGAATCAAACCAGGTTCTCGAGTCTAAGGAAGTGGGTATATCACAGTCCTATGACTACTCACAGGAAACAGACACTGCCCTAACAGGAATGTATGAGGCCAGTAATAGGCAGCATGTATGGTAAGGCTAGAAGCCAAAATATGAAGAGTTTTTACTTGAATACAGCTGCCCAGCAAGTCTAGCAAATGCTGAAGCTCAGCCATTCAACAGACATCTGAAATTGAGAACCATTAATACAGTAAATGCAACTTGTTGCCTGATTTGGGAAATTCTTTCCTAATTAGTATTTTCTCATTCCAGATAAGAGACAACAATATCTTTTCAGACAGCTACAGCGCTGACTTCCACATTCAGATACAGACTATTATTGCCACTAAAGGTAGTGTACCTGCATCCCCTTTAAGACTTGCATTTTATAGAATAAAGAAGTTCTGGAAGCTTATGCAACTGGTCAAAGCTGGATCACACGAATCCTACAAACCCTTTCCAGAAGATTCCTAGAAAGCACATCCTAGTCTGAGGAAAAAAACCAAACACACACAAAAACCCAAACACAGACACACACACTATCTCCCTCTTGGGTTTTAATGCTGCTTAAGTTATTTATTTCACTATTTTTAGCATAAAGGAAACATCTGCTTTGATGAGCAACAGGATCAGACACACAGCATATACAAGACAAAGCACCTTGCTAGCATGACAAGCCAATTGCTTTCTTAAAAAAAAACTACTATATTACACTACTATAAAATGGATAGAAGATTGCCAATTGAACATTGCACTGGAACTTATGTCTTCTCTTAAGAAGGTCTCAACACTTTACATGTTGACTGAAATGACAAGGCTACGCTTTCCTGCAAGTTAAGGTAGCACACCATCCGCAACAGCTTCACTTAACCTATGGACAAGAATATCTGCCCCCCCCCCTTTTTTTTTTTTTTAATTGCATCACAGTATAGGCAACAGTCAACTGCTTGCTTATACGTTAGTCAAAGCATGTTAGAAGAACAGTAA